ACGTTCTTTGTTCGTAGTCCCATTTTGTATGAAGTTATCTTTCAACCAGGTATATTTAAATACTCATTATTGATTGACTGTTGTTAGTGAGTAAAAAATGGTTAAGTCGCTTCTCTACCTATTATACATTCATCATAACAAATCGAGATATGAAGTTTATAAAAACTATATTTCAACATTATTCCCAATATATAATACTCAAAAGTTCAAAGTAGCCTATTAAAAGATTGTCTGTATTCCAAATAATGATATTATTTAGTTCATATTTTATATGATAATAATTTTCCTTAAAACATTGATAAATGTTAAATTCACTTGATATTGTTTACTTGAGTCCTCTCATTGATGTTTAAGACTGCAATTGATAAACATTATAAGCAAAGATGGATAGTGGATAACAGTGAACTCCAGGACGCACGTTTCGTCCTATTTAGGACTCGTCAGCTGGATATACCCGCATTCCGGAATTGATATTCACTATGGGACTCGAATCCAGTACCATTCGCTTCAAACGCCATCGCGTTATTCATTTACGTACTGAGTCCTGATAGTCAGTTGCTTGTGAAATGAGGTGAAGTTTAAATTCACTTGGTATTGTTTACTAGAATCTTCCCACTGATGTTTAGAACTACAATTGGTCAGTCTCTTATTGGCATATGTACATACTATGCGTATTGCCTTGATATTGTCTTAATTCACAAGCATCATAAGCAGAACAATCCAGATAAATGCGCGTAATTAAAAATTTGAATCATTTTTATGTAAATTGACAAGATGATAATCAGTCATGGGAATTATAAATATCCAATTAAGTTGAACAAAAATCTAGGTCATGACAAATCAAGTCATGTGTAAAAATTACTGTTTTTTTTTATAAATGGAGTTATTTCAAGCAAATCAAAACAACTTTTCTATAATGTTCTCAACAAACACAGATAATATTTGTAATTTTAAAACAGAATAAGATCTCCGAAGTCATTTGAGTATAAAAATCAAATAATCATTTCCCTTTAAAAGAAGTTGAAATAAAGTGGGATCTAAAGAAGTGAACATTTTAAGTAGATTTATCTGTAAACAGTATCTTTAGTGGTTATATAACTTCTCAGTAAATAGAAGAACAATACATGTAATTAGAGAGTAGTTTTAGTTAATCAGTGATGGAAATTCATTATTCTGATTACAGAAATTCCACCACTCTCTTGTTTCGTTAACTATTTTGGAATATCAAAAATCGAGATCAGTTAACAGTGGGTGATAATTACTATTCTCTTATTATAGTTTTCACTTGCGTGGAGGTGATTCGTTAATGAAAGGTAAAAATTTAAAATATAAACTTACTAACGAGTGGATTTTTTTAGATTATTCAGTAAGGCAGTGGATATCGATATTAGGCATCTCACGTGAATTCGTTTGTAACTCAAAATGTCGTGCAAATATTGTCACCGTCTACGTCTATACATCGGGAAGAATTAATTAAATTGTCTGTCTGAATCTGCATTGACATTTTAGTCGTCAAGGTTTCATATCTTTTACTGTGTATATAAATATGTATTAAGTAATATAGATAAATTCAAAAAATATGAAAGCTTTGATCCAAAATCTTCCGAAAGATTGACTTTTCACTATTTTAACAACATGACTTTGGACAAAGTGTTTTTGCCAACCAAATTATGATGACTAACTTATCTCAGACCTTACTAGAATATACCTCACTACCTTACTACTACTTTCCTTCTGAACGCTTGATTTCACCATTTAAAAGTTACTGATTATTTCAACTAATACTTTGATCACAAGGAAAATATTTCGAATTTCAGCAGGATTGCTGGTTTATTTGACGTTTGGTATTATAGAAACAATCAATATGATGTTTTCTGTCATATTGGAAATATCAGTTTTTTATCTTATTGATAAATCTTCTAATTGAACGCTAGGTTCTGTTTTCTAAGCTATTCTAGTAACACCTCCAGGCTAATCTACACGGCCAGTTGAACACGAGAGAAAAGGCGAGAAATATGGAAGAAAAGCTTTACTCCAAGTTTTATTTATGTACAGAAAAATTTAGGGTACTTATAGCATTTCAAGTGGCCTTGGGCTTCTGGAACGCTACTAGACATAGTAGCAGTATAAGTAGTTATCCAAACAGAAACTCGACATGCGACTTCTCACTTTCTAGATGTTTCTGGAAAAGCTATCGTTTCTCAGAGCCCTATTTGGCTTTTCTAGGAATTTTCTGAGTCTCTCCACCACTTATCTATAAGTATGCAGACGTTATTGAAAGGAAAATATTAGTTAGTCAATAAATAGATCGTTTCACCAATTAATATCAGCTTTCAAAAAGTTCGAGAACTAAGTTCGAATTTGCTAAGGCGGTTGATGTCGTAAGTCAGACCATATCTATATACATAGAAACTGAAAGTCAAAAATATTATTCTCACTCTGATAATCACATTGAGATGTGGGTTACTTATATTCACATAAGTAGTACATAACGGTGGTCAGGTATAGAATGTATTTCAGTAGAAGATCCATAAGGAAAGAACGGAAACCGTACGCGATTGGTATGGAAATGCATGAACAATGAAATGGACTGATATTTGCAAAAGGAACAGTCATGTTTGAGACGATGGATTGATATTTTGCAAATTAACTATATACTATATGGTTCTCAGATTTTAGTAATTTGCTCTGTAATTTCGTGTCAAATACATTCGATTGTCCCCACTCATGTTCTTGTTCACTACAATATCGCTTAGTAGTTATATAGTACACGGATACTATCATCTCAGTATTGGGTATTATAATTTTCCAAGTTTAATACATCTAACCTTTTAGTGCAAGGTTAATATGTTAATCACTTATAAATAATAAAGATTTTAACTTTTAGTAAATATATCACCTGTAACTACTTCTAACTTAAACTGTTTGTTATACTTACTAGGTCGACAAACCTACAATTACATTGTCTTCAGCTTTAACCAATAACATTTTAGTTAACTCAATAAGCGTAGGAGTGAACATTTCAATTTTCCAGGTCGTAAATAACATTTTTGTAATAAATAAACTCATGTTACACTTATTACTCCTAATAGACAAAAGTAGGCTTCAAACATAAAGCGAGATCATCAACAACCATGAGCACTGTGTTAATTATTTGTTTATTTTACATATTATTATTATTTTTGCGTCTAACACTTGGCTGTTTATTAAAATTATTAATAACGTAAGAACTCTTGAAGAATATAATAAAATAAGATCATCAGAACTGTTATTGTCTACGTATTCATTGGTCTATTATTAAGATAAAGTAAACAGAAATTTCGAAAATCCCAGTAAGATTTGGTACCGCTAACCCTAAATTAAATTTATTCTTAATATCCTTTGAAAATAGATTGAATTAACTTGACCTAAGAAAGTTTCAATATATTCATATAAAACATGAAATTAGGAAATGATAAAATATGAAAAAATACGGGAAATTGATTTAATTTTTGAATTCATGAATCAATTGAAGCTATACCACCATCGAAAGCCTGAAAGTACTGGACAGCCGTCTCGTCCTAGTATGGGACTCTTCAGTGGTGCTCATCCATGATTCCATCTCGCGAGATTTGAACCCACGTCCTATCAGTCTTGCAAACAAGCGTCCAACTACTAGAACACTGAGTCGTCTATACACTAAGACGAAACGGCCGTCCAGTGCTTCCAGGTTTTCCATGGTGGTCTAGCTTCAATTGACTCATTGATTCAACGAACAAATGATTAATTAATGTTTTAAGACAGTTTATCAATGAATATTTAAGAAGTCCTGTAATAAAATATCAGGATAAGTTCACTTGGTATTGTTTGGCTTGTATCTTCTCATTGAGGTTTAAGACTGCAAGTGATCAGTCTGTTATTGGTATATGTGCATACTGTGCGCATGCCTCCATATTACCTTAAGTCACAAGCTTTTTGTAAGCAATGATTGATAGTTATTTCAAAAAAAGAAAACAATGATAATAAAAATCATAAAATATGTAAATCTTTTTCATGAAAAGAAACATAATAACGTCTACTTAACCAACAGACCTTAAGAACTTTCAACCAACGAATAAAAGAAGACAACGGAACCAAAAGAAAATACTTTCTAAGAGTATTTAAATTAATATACAAATTTAATGAACAACTATGTTGTTTTAAGAGATAACCATTAAAATAATTTAATATATTTGATTTTAGGTTGGAAATGTAAACACTGATGAGGACTTCATAAATGTTTTTTCTCAAGTTGTGGTGCTCGTTGATCTCAGTAAGAGATAACAGATTGACCGAATTTGTAATAACTAACTTACGATGGAACATATCCGAGTTCTGAATTTAGTTCCATAGGACAGTACTGTTAAAGGATTTACAGAATAACATAGTTTCGATATTCAAAACTTAAAAAGTTCTCAATATTCATCTGGATTGGATTAGACAAAAATTAGATAAAATTCATTATTACAAATTCTATTTATTTCAGGATGAAGACATTTGTTTTTGGAGACATTACGGAGAAGTTTAACAAAATCAACCATAGAAAACTCAGCAATATGCCTGAAGTAATAATAAGTTTAGTAACCAAGGTTACAATTTTCATTCACAGTAATTTATTTGTATCAGCATCATTTTATGAATTCAAGATAGAATAAAATAAAAAGCCCACTTCATTCTTAAAACTTCAGTCAATTATCCGTCATCTAATTTTCTTCAACAACAAAAAAAATTGGAAACGCACAAACAACTTGTATTTTTGCACAAAATAGTATTCTGTAAGGAAATTTACAAAATTAAAAAGATATTTACAAATGATGGAAAATTGTTTGTATATGGTTATCTTTTATTCTCTGTTCCTGTTAGCTTGAATGATATAAATAAATCACGAGACAAATATAGACGATGTATCTCATATGGTAATTAACTGCTCTTGAAAAGCCAACACTAATAACGATTGTGATTTATAAAGTCATTGTAAATAGTTACAGCATTTTATTGCCATTCTCCATTTGATCTAGTTCGATAACATAAATATTTCTCAAATAACCATTGTACTTTTGTACATTATCAATTGAAAACACTTTGTTTGGTATATGCACAACTATTCCAATTACATTGTCTAAATGACAATTTAGTAACTTTTGTGCATTAAGGCCCGATCCCTGAAGAGAAAGCAAGTTTTGTATAAATAAGTATAAGTAAAGATTTTGAGAGAATTTTAATAGACTACTTAATTGAAAAATTTCATCAAAAAAATCTGCTTTTACTATAAACAAATTAAAAATTAAGCTGAAGACAATTACTAACATGGTACTATACACTTTAGCATCACATACTCTTATCTGAATATCTGTTAGGTTCTTTATATTAGATAATATAGGGACATTCCTTTTAATGAACAAAAAGTACAGGTCGATTTGTCAGACCATTATTAGTGCTAATTGATAAAGTCATATATAATCATTATATTACGTGAAAAGCATCTATTTAGGTACTTGGAAGGATTTCTATCAATAAAAATCATTGTGCCACATAAAATTACAGAAGATAGTGATGAACAAGAAGCCAACAAGTAAGTCCTACAGATGCAACTTTAAAACTTTTCGAGTAATATGTGAATTAACTATGAAGTATTACAGCAATAGAGTTTACAACATAAAAACTCATGTGACTCTAATTTATAAGAAGCCAGTAGTATGATTCTGTTCTTCATGTTACCATAGCCCCCAAATGCCCTGGTACGGCCGAGAGTGGGGAGAGTCCACTCTCCCTCTCGAAATGCTCTCACATGGCCACGCGTATATAGCCTCTGGCAGGGAAGTCCTACTCACTGCCTTCTCGTAGCATCACTGTTGTTTACGAAATTGAGAGGACGAAAAGCGAATGTCCGGCGCTTTAACCTGTTTGGTGGACACGGAGAGTCTACGTAGAGGAGTTGGAAAACCCTCATTTCAAACCAATGGTGCACATGAGCTCCAGGATTCTGAGGGAACAAATGGCGTATGAACCAATCGTTGGTCACCGGCTACCATGGGACTGCATCTCCTTACGTTGCTCCACTGCTTTGTGGATCAGACCATTGGGTCGGAGGCTCCGGGTGTTGTCTCCTAAGAAAACCACCTGCTTCGGTTTGGGCACCCAAGCAGTATCACAGCCCTCATACATATCAAATGAGATTTGTGTGGCGCATATATGTTTGGTGTCTCCTTGTACCAATATCTATGTATTAAAATAAAAATAAATAAAAATGGTGCCATCAATAGTATTACTTATGGCTGAGACATAATTATTATTTATGTAAAATTATTTATTTAGTTATCTTCTATAATCTTTAAAAAATTATCCTTCAATAATAATATTACAAAGGAAAGTGTAGAGACCTTCATGGGATATCCCACTCAGAAATTGAAAGATTTGACCAATAATAAACAAGGGGAAAGCACTGAATTTAATAATATTTGGAATTTAGTTAATTCGAAGATAATTCTAAACAACAACTGAAATCTGTCAAACAAACATGACGGGAAATTACTTTGTTCAACCTTAAAACACTAGTACTAAGTATTTGTGAACTTAACTAAAAATATTCAGTGAAACAATAAATTTAGAATCTTATTACTCTGATAACAATAATTAATGGTTGAAGAGAAACATTTCTTCCATACAAAGATTACACCACAACTGAATAAGTTTCCTCTCAAATTACTTTAGCGGATTAGAACTTTAAAAGAAACTTCTTAATTTGAAGTTATTCTCCGAAATTCAGACATTTTTGAAAAGTATACTATCTAATGATTATTATTATAAGATTATAAGATTACATCACCTGGTGAAAAAAACACGTGTTATATATAGAAGAAACTCAATGAACTTGTTTTGTACACTTTGAGCTTTACATTTTAGGATGGACACCCTAATCTTCATTAAATAAATATAGGTTTGATGATTAAAAGCGATTTTATCAACGATGATTCGAAACATTAACATAGTATCGTAGACCAATATTTGATGTTAGAATCTCTAAGAGACAATGTTCCTGGTTATGAACAGAGTTAACACTAAGACGAAAAGATTTATAAAAGTAGTGAAACAGTTACGATTAAATAAGATGTCAACAGTGCAAGTGTAATTTTAAAATTCTACTCGTATGGTTTCTTGTGGTAACAAATCAGAATTGGTTTTTAATTAACTTGACTATATCTCACTTGAATCAATTGAACTCGTGAACTGATGTGACTATGTGAATCAATGGGCTGAAATGATAAGCGATGTAGGTTTTAAACTTTAAGAAAGATATTGTCTTTCTTGAGGTTGATGATATATATATATATATATATATATATATATATATATATATATATGACAAGGATCGTCAGCAATGCTTGTCAATTACTCAATATTAATTAACTATTTACTATTAGCTGACATCTGTATAAATTATTAGAAGCAAATAAGATATATCAATAGGATACCTTCAACAAATTTGATTGTGTTACATTGAGTAGTTTGCAAAGTCTCCAAGAGGCCATCTGAAAGTAAAGTTTAGCATAAAAAGTAAGTATATAAAGGGGAACGATGATGATAATAATAAATGGAAGCATAAGATGAAAATTTCACACAATCAAATATACAAAATAATGCAGCAGTAAAAAAATCATCATCGATTTACTGTATAATAGAAAGTTGTTATAACTTCATAAATCTAATTAGTCAGTCAGTCATAAGCAAAGTAGAACCTAGTACATATGTTTATCGATTTAAATCGCCACACTATGTCAGAACAGTAGGACACAACTATCAAGACAAATTCGGAGTAGTAAAAATAGTAACAAAATCAATGGTAGTAAAATAGAATAGGCATAAATATGGCTCAATAAGGAAGAGTGATCTTGCAAAATAAGGATTATATTCATCATTAGAAACATAATTTTGGAACTCATGATTTAAGGGGGGGACAAAGACTGAGTGCATATGAGCTACGATGATTGATTCCGAGCTATTTCATCCAATATATTCAACCACTGATTAACGGTAAAGGTGTGAGCCATAATCAAGTAAATCTGTACCTGCCAACAAGGCTTAATCTAACAATACGACTTAAACAGAATGCCTAATAAATTGAAAGGAACAATGTATTATATCTATAATTTTTAAGTCAATGTCTTAAAATGTACAGATACTTATAAATATAACTTTATATATATATCCAAAACAAAGTTCTTAATTACGAGATGAAACGGGTAACTGTCAATGAATATGAGTAATATTACTAGGCGTTCCAATCTTTCAGTATTTTTACTACAACTACTACTGATACCACCAATACTACTAATGCATCAATAAAGATATTATTAGTAACTTAGGAAACTACTCATTTCCCGCAAATAAAATACAGACCGACTTCCGTGTTACTTTCAGAGAAAAGACGTTGACTAAAAATGAGGAGAAAAATGAGATAAAGAAAACCATCAGTATTATTCCAAATTTGACAGTTCTATAGACAGATGATAATTATAAAAGTGAAATAGAGCCATTTAAATTCACAAAACCTAATTTTATGTTTGGATGCCGACTAATTTTTGTATCTCGTGAAATAGCGAATTGACATAGAGAAAAGATAATTTCAGGAAATCTATAAATGTCGACTCCATTAATTTAATTAATTATTTAGATCATATACAAAATAAAACTAAAACCGCAAAGAATAATCAAGAAGTGAATAAAGTATTCAACTTTTAGTCACTGGATCTCAAGTTTTAATCTATTTTGTTTTGAGTAATTGGACAGTTAGCACATTTCAGCTAAAAGTCAACTACATAACTATATATATTTAGTCACAGGTCTTTTTTAAATGAAATTCGTGTTTCAACATTTATTAATTTTACTTATTGTTCGAACTGTTGTTTATGTACCCGGAAACTATCAAGCATCGACCATATCTTCGGGTTGAGTACATGAATCTGTACTTAGTTACAGTATTACACTAATAAGCTAAAAAAACAACTAATGATTACTTACATTTAGTGTCAATTCTACAGACGATTTATGTCGTTTCAATTTATTAACAGTGGATTGATTGTTGTCAAAATTAATTAAAACTTGTACTTCTGTTTCCAATCGTTCAAGAGGATTTGATAAAAGCGCTAAACATCGGACACATTTCAAATTTTCTTGTTTAGAAAAATATTTGACTTTATTATCAACACCAGAATATATTTCAAAATCAGCGCATGCACAATAAGGACAAATAGACCAAACATGTGATCGACTCGTATCTACATGGATCAATGTACCTGCATAATTTATCAACATATTATAATGATAATGAAAATATGATAATAAAAACTGAAAAAAATTCACGTAGGAGGCAATGAAACTTTAAGATTAGAAATCTTTATGAATAATAAATGATAATTATTAATCGGCATTGATTTTTGTTCTAATCGATAACAGATATGTGTAGAGAATGGAAAAGGGCAGACTAAAACAGTATCACAACGGTTAAGTTCTTACTGAGAAAACAACTACTATCATTACTATCATAACAAACTACTGTAACCATAATATTAGAATTGAATTGTCTATTAGAAGCTTAGGAATACATAAGCAAATGGTAATTCTGTAAACAAATAGAAGAATAAGAAAGTATCGATTAGAAAACACGCTGTAGTTTAGCACAATTTATTATAAGGCAAATATTGGACGGCGGCCTGCTTGAATATCTGGGCTACCTGTTTCTGCCATCTAATTATTTCAACAAGTTATGTTTTCTTCATTTTGTTTTAACGTCTCATTATGTCCATTAGTCGCATAACCTATACAGGCGTGTTTATGAAAAGCATACGACCTTTCGCTGCACAAGTTACAAAGAAGTACAATAAAAGACATCATGGTGGTTGGCAATATGCGTTGAAGAGAATGACATTATTCGTATGTCGATCCTGGAGCTTTTAAATTCTAACTGCCAATCACTAGTTAACAACGTGGACTATCTTCAATTCCTACTAAGTCAAAATATGTATCATAATTGTGGTGTCATCACAATTCAAGAATATTGGTTAAGTGATTTACAGAACGACTGCCTAGTATCACTACTTGGTTTCAAAATTTATTGTCAGGATCGATCAAACAATAAAAAGAGGTGTGGCGGCGGTGTAGCTACATTTGTAAACGTGAACTGGTGTCGATCTGCGTTTGCGTGTTTGAAGTTTTCAAATGACTTTATCGACTAACTCTAAGATGCAGTCCAAACATCTGAATAAATACAAATATGTTTATGTTACCAGACTGCACATCATCTGCGCTATCTGTTTTCGCTGATGAATTCACTGAGTTTGCTGTTACTGCCTTCATCAATTCACTATCAGTTGTATGTGGTGACTTCAATTAATGTGACTGTAGCTTCCTTACGTCACTAGGTCACCAAAATGTAGTAGATTTTCCTACTCGTTTGGATGCTCATTTAAACTTTGTTCTCATTAATGATGTGGGTGACTCGTAAACGTGCTCCATTGTCTAGCTCGGATCACTGTATAATTCGTGTTCTACATAAAGTATATGGAAAGCATGGGAAGAGTACACTCTTACATCAAATATAGGAATTACTCAGAAGAAAATATCCGAAATCTGAAAAACATGTTTCATACGACTAACTGGGAATTATTTACAGATAAAACACTGGAAATCACTACTGATGTTATCACTTGTTACCTTAAATTCTGTTTTGATATTTGCTGTCCCACTGAAACCATTTTTGTAAGTTTTGATCGACTTACATCTTCACAACTAAAACGACGACGTAGGGTGAAAGAAAGAATGTACGAGGAGAAAAACTCTAGTGAAGTTCGTAAGCTAAATGACCTAATAAACCTAGAGAACTTTATGTTTACTCAAAAACTCGTGTCTTGTAAAAACTATTCAAGTATGTGGAAACTCTATAAAGAACTTACAGGTGACAAACACATTAGGGAGCGATAACCAGCTGAATGTTTGTGACTTAACTAAGTCTTTTGTACGTCAGTCATCTGATGTAATGCTCCCTTCATCCACAGGTTTAAAGAATAGCTTCGTTCCTAGTTTCACTGAAACTGATGTACGAGGATGTCTCCAGTTACTTAATTCATCCCGATGATTAGGGCCTGATGGTATCCCAAACCTCCTTTTTAAAAAGTGTGCTGACGTCCTATGTTATTCATTCACGACTATCTTTAACAGATCCTTCTCGTCTAATCTCATACCGAAAATGTGGAGAAAGATGAAGATAATCCCTGTATCAAAGAAAGTATCTGGTGATAAGAATGTGAAATCTAGACCTATTGTAATAACTTCACCCTTCCTCAAAACAATGGAGAAATTATTTATACTTCCACTCCCATCTTCGATAAATAAGCACACTGATCCGTATCAGTTTGCTTACAGATGCACATGAAGCACCTTAGATGCTGTTGCTGTTCTGCATCACAATATAGTGTTCAACTTAGAAAAGGGTAAGAAGTATGTTCGATGCGCTTTTCTGGACTATACTTCAGCTTTTGATTTTATACCAAGACAACGTTTACTTAACAAGTTAATCAGCCTCAACACTGACAGCTGGATAACAAACTGGTTATGTTCCTACCTCTCTGGAAGGGTACAGTACACTGTATTTGGAGGAAAGTGTTCAGAGTCTACTGTCTCACCAAGGTGTACCACAAGGAGCTGTTCTTTCACCTCTTCTTTTCTCTTTTTTTCTGCATGATCTGCCATCTTCCACAGAAAACACCTTTGTGAAATATGCGGATGATCTCACTGTATGTATGCCTATCTCTTCCTCTTTACATCCCATAGAAATGGATGAGTTTTTGTCTTGTATTGATTGTTGATCTGTTGGTAATGGTCTTATACTTAATCCATTTAAATGTCTATGTATGTTCATTAAAACGAATGTATAGGAAGATGGTAATATAACATCCATAAACCTTGAAACGATTTTACTCTAAAATGTACCGAATATCAGGATATTAGTAATTTCTTTTTAATATGTACAGAATTTAGTTTTCAAGAATCAGTATGCCTATATACCTAAGAACATGGATAAAGATAAAGAATCTTAGTTAGTGAAGCATATAATTAAATAAGCCATAGTGCAAGTCACTGACAGCCCGAAGATGCGATTTAACGTATGATTTTAGAAGATCTCATATACTATATTCCGCAAGGTTGAATATTGAAGTCCACCTATATATGGGGTAGAGAAATGGGAGGAAACTTGGCGAAACTAAGTTAAACAATCAAAGAGAAAAGGAAGTAGTTAATAAAAATAAGAATGATGTTGGAGGTGTGAATGTAAAGTGAATGAGATTTTCTCAAATTGATCCTGTTTGGAAGTAAGGGGAAGTTAGAAAAATCGACCACTAATTCTTTGCGTGTATTGACAATTACATGAAATTTAAAAAAAGAACAGGGTTAAGAGCAAAACGGAAACAAAAATATTCCTACCTGAAAAACTAACAATTTGATGAACACGTAACTTATTCACATCTTCAAGTGACTGTAATAAAATATAGTTGGAATAAATCTGTTTGGAGAGAGAATTTTTTAAAGCATACATCGATGAAGAATGTTGAGAGTAATTCTCAGTCTTAAGTGACGTAAAACGATCTAGAAGAATGAAACCTATATGAAAAAGAGAATAATAAAAATTGTCATAGTTTATAAATTTAAGTTCCACAAATAAAAATAAAATTATTCGTATTAAGTGATCAAAGGGGTTCCTACATGTTTCCTTTTATATCATTTAAAATGTTGACAAGGTTTGTTTTTAGGAAAGTATACGACGATTTCTTCTGAAAATATCACCATCAAAACCATTGAGATCATTTGCCTTCCGATGATGACATTATCTTTCGGTTTGTAATGCTCTACATTTAACCAAGGCGAACTGAGCAAAAGTTTGATTAAACATTATCATTAAAAAATGTGATATTAAAGTCCGGAAGAATATATTCAATCATTTAAATGTGTAGTTAATTTCCATCTTATAAAGTACCAGGGAATTATTTTAGTAAACGAAAGGCAACGTCGTAAGACGATTTTTAATTCTCATACCGAACAAAATCTATATTTATAACAATTGATGTATATATGTAAACAAGTTTATTACATAAGAACGTGTAAGTTGGATACGATAAACAGGGATTTATTTAGACATTGCAGGACTTTCACTGCATGGACATTTGGTGGTCTTTGGACGATTCTATGTTTATTTTCTTTTATACTACATGCATGTATGACGCCTATTTTAATAAATGAGGATTAGTCAGTTGTTTATACAGTCTGATAGTCTTTTACCAAGATTAGAGTGGTGGCTATACATATCTGAACAAGTTGTTTGATCACACTCAATTCTATGAGTAATCACAGAATGTAAGAATCCCATCGACAGACAGTAAGTATACAATATTTTCCAACTAAAGAGCATCGTAAAGTCAATATTTTTAAATATAATCTACAAATAATCTGTTAGAATGTAAGGTAAATATGAGAGCCTTATTCCACACTCATCTCATTATCCTTTTAAGTTTCGAGTTTGTAAATGTTCCTTACGATGTATGATTATGGTCACTCGATAAAGTGAATAATAACCAACAGTTTTGTAAAATATGGTAATTCATTTAACTGAACGGATATTATTGTTGGTATTCTCCCCCATCTTTATCGAGATAAATCCATTGCTACTTCTTCGACCTTTTATCTGGTATCAGTCAGCACATTCTAATAAAGTTTGTGACATACATATTTTCTACTACAAAATAGAAAACAAATTTGTGCTACATGTACTCCTACTTCGAAAGATAGTTCATGTTATCAATCACTTATCACCTACGGTTACATCAAACATGACATGCAAAATCACTAACTACTTATTGGTAGATCATGGTAATATCAAAACGCTATACTTGAAATAGATTAAAGACTTCGCACGTTACAAAATGTAAATATCATCAAGTGTTATGAATTGGAATTTTATGATTCGATGGGAAAATTTCGAATTTTTACAATGGATAAAATAAAATATCAATAGATAAATGAACGCAATAATACGATATAGCAAAGCAATGATTGTTCACGAGGCACAATTAATGATTCCAATCCTTAAGTGAACTGAGCTAATAGACAAGAAAGATCACTAGTCAAAAGAATAGACTATTTTTTATCAAATCAAATAGCATACTTATAAACAAATGATTAACACATAAATAAACATTATAACGATACAATAAATAATGCAAGATAGTAGTAGCGTGATATATATATATATATATATATGTATAAAGTCGAGACTACTTAATATAACTTACTATCAAAAAATAATCCTTGATCAATGATTATATAAACACCAAATCCAGTAGTAGATAAAAAATTTGATGTTGAAGAGATAGCAAATAATTGTTCGTAAATTAACTCTATAGGTGAAGTAACATCGACTAAACAAATACATGGAATTAATGTTGATGTAACAGATTCAGAAATCCATAAGTAAAATGTTCGTGTAGATTTTTGTTCATTAGTAAATATATTTAGATTTTTTAAAGAACATTTCAATTTTTTACTTTCATGATTATACAAATCGAAAATAACATCTTTGACAAGTGAACCTTCTGCTGGCTAATGAAGACAAAATAGCAGATAATATATATATATATATATATATATATATATATATATATATATATATATATATATATATATATATATGTTTGAATTAGAATACAATTGATTCCTTTGTGTAAATAAACATATTGAATAAATAGTCATTTCAGATAATATTGGTCACGACACAATATTAGTTGAATAAACCATAGGATAGTTTTGTTCGAAGGAGGTTTCTTTGTGTACCTAACAATCCGGTAGAATTGAACCAACTTCAAATTAAATCGGCAATAGCAGTTCATGCCATTTTCAACAACCACCAAATCGATTTTAAAAATATCAAAATATTGCAAAAAGGCTTTTCCAACTACAAAGAAAGGAGGGTAGCTGAGGCGTTCCATATAATGCTTAATCCTACTTCTCTCAATCGAAAAGAAGGCCTTACCATACATCCTACTTGGACCATCTATCCTAACCATTCAGTCTGATCGTATTTACAATTTCACACTTTCATATTACAAATTTAAACTCTATCCTTTCTTACCATAAAGGTCACACAAGTTTTCATTCTTAAACAATGCACATATACATACACACACAAATTTACATACTTATCACTTATGAATCACCTTGACAGAAATGACATGACATCAACTTGTTCAGACCTGTTTTTGATTGATCAAATATTATTCTTGCATTGTTCCGTTGTACTATTTAAACTTGGATTAATTTAATTTTGGTTATTTATTCTCTGAAGAAGTGACTTACACTAAGCCACGAAACGTCAGAAAATCCAAATTTCTACTCATTGGGATATTACAAATATATTATTTTTATTTATAACAATCAACCCAATGCTCAATTTATTCGAAATTATCAAATCAAACCTTGGTAATGACACCTATAAATATGGAATATTCATATTTAAGATTAAACCTTAAAATAGTTGATTCTCAATAGTATCCAAATGACCCATAGTGTCATTAAATAAGAAAAAGAGAATTCAGCGAAGAAAATTTTCTTTTCGACGAAATCATTTACTTAAGCTGTACATTCGTATATATAGTTAGATATGGAAAATGTATGTCTATAGAAGGATAGAATGGATTGTATCACACAAAAAATGGATTCGACAATGAATAACAAATGAGGTTAACGTAAGGAGAACAAAATTTAAGGGTCAGATAATAGTCCAATTGACAGATATGAAGAAAAACGTCAAAACAACAAAGGTCATAATAATAGAGTGAATGATAATCAAGAAAACTTGTAAAAGGTAATAATAATAAATGATTAGAGTTTAAAGTGCAAAATAGTAATAATAAAAGTGCATTGAAAAAAAAAAACACCTAGAAACATACCCATAAAGGGAATTAGGGCCAGGGAAGGATAAGAGGTTGGACAAATCGTTTCTGCACGCAAAGTTCAGGCTTTAGTTTGTGGATTGCCAATGCCTCTGCGGTGCATAAAATATTGATTCGAACCCCCTTCGATCCAGTTCCTTTGACTCTGTAAACTATTTTAAACGAAGAGTCTTTTGGAGCGATATGTCCACAGTTGATTAAGTGCTCCTGTATGGAACTTGTGATTGTTTTTCGCTCCCCTTTCAAAAGCCAAGCCGGATAATGTTCCGAGATGCGTTTGGATAATGATCGCTTTGTGCGGCCTATGTAACATGCCCCACATGAGCAAGTAAATTTATAGATACACATTGAAGTGGCCCAAAGCGAAATTTTGTCCTTAACACACCCCAGAATGGTAGGTCGGCTTGAGAAGATGATTCGAAGCTTAGCTGCGTGGAATGTTTTATTAATTGATTTCGAAATCCGTTTATTTAGGATTTCAGCAGCTGTATCTCCCTTGAATTCCATATTCATAAATAGAGTTTTTTTTCTCTACTGTCAATGCTTTAACATGGGGTCTAGGTACCAAGTTTCTATCGATGAATCTCGGTGGATAACCGTTTTTGATGAGGGTCTGTCGAAGATAAAATAGTTCCCCATCTATTGTGTCGTTGGAACAAATTCGCCTGATCCTTGAGGATAAAGAATGAATTAAGTTCCTTTTTCTAATTAAAGGAACCCAACTGTGGAAGTTCGTGTATTGTCCATTCCAAGTGGGTTTTCTGTATATCGATCTCTGTAATAAACCGTCAGGCATTCTTTTTAAATGGATATCAAGAAAATGAAATTCGTGGTTTGTCTCTGCTTCTAAGGTGAATTGGATTGATGGGTGACAGCTATTGAAAATATTCAAAATATCATTGAGGTCAACGTCTTCTTCGCAAATAATGAAAGTGTCATCCATATATCTTTTATATAAATGAAATCTTTCAATTATTGGTCGAAGTACCGAATTTTCTAGGTTCGCCATAAAACAATCAGCCAGGAGAGGACCCAATGGAGAGCCCATTGCAACTCCATCTATTTGTTTATAGAAAATATCATTAAATCTAAATTGCACATTGAGCGTACATCTTAGAAGTAGTTCTTTAAGGTAATGTATCGGGATACGCATATCAAGATTATTATTTTCAATATAGTCACATAAAAAACAAATGGTTTCTGTGAGGGGAACATTTGTGAAAAGAGAAGTGACGTCTAATGAGAACATTTTTTTACCGGATACATTGATATTTCTAATGGAGTCAACAAAGTCGAAGGAATCAAGAGAATTGTGTTTGTTGATATGATTTTTAACAGGTTCTTTTCGTCGAAAAGAAAATTTTCTTCGCTGAATTCTCTTTTTCTAGTATCCAAATGATAAGTTTATATATTCCTATTTCACACTATTTGTGATACAAGTAGGTTACAATAGATTTTGAATTAGTATTTGACTGGTATTAAAACATTAAGAAAAAAAATCGTCTACTCAAGTTCATGTAAGATAGTAGACAATTCTCAATGTTTTTGATTGAGATCATGAACCGATTGATGTTAGACCGCCATTGAAAACCTGAAAGCACTGGACAGCCGTTTCGTCCTATTGTGGGACTCTTCATGATCTCAATGAAAAGCTTGACAATCTCCATAACCCCTAAGCTGATAATTACCATGTGTTCACTAGTGACTAGCTTCGTGAGAAAATTCTCGGAATTCTAGTGAGAAGCCATGACCAGTGGAGCTAATCCGTGTCGGGTAAAAATAGGTGTCTACATCAGTACAATGGAAGATGGTCGCACAACTTCGTGGATTGGTTGAGGTTAGACATTAACACCATTGGATGCCGACTCAGTGGTCCAGTAGGTTAAGCGTCTGCGCGCGAGACTGAAGACCCTGGGTTCGAATCGCACGAGCGGGATCGTGGATGCGCACTGCTGAGGAGTCCCAAATAGGACGAAACGGCTGTCCAGTGCTTCCAGGTTTTCAATGGTGGTCTAACACCAATCGGTTCATGATCTCAATCAAAAACTTAACAATCTCTACAACCCATAAACTGATCATTCTCAATGTGTTTAATTAATTAACTAATGATAACCGCTTTATATTTATTGAGAAATGTAAAAAATCAACATAATATATGATAGAATTTCATAATGTTGGTAATGTGCAAATTCTCTACAATCAATGATCAAACGTAATTAACTGTAAAAATTTCATTGACGCAAATTTTAGTTATTTTTCTGGTTATAATATTTTGCTTTTGCTTTTCATCATTGCTGTGTATAAAACCTCTGATATCATGTAAACAATTTACTTAAGTTTCAGTGTTATCTTTGTTGTTAAAACAAACAATGTGAACAAATTTATATATAATAGTTTTATGAGAAAGGGTTTTGTGGAGATTGTATTAATCTCAATAGTTGAGATCATGAATCAACTGAAGTTAGGCTATCATGGAAAACCTGGACGGCAGATTCCTCGTATTATGGGACTCCTCAGCGGTGGGCATCCACGATCCCCAGCGAAGTTTAACCGGGTCTGTTGTGAGATAGTGACTCACTGATGACAATGGTGGATGTGTCGCTCAATTTCGTGAACTAGTTGAAGTTAGACATTAACACCGTTGAATGCTGGCTCAGTGGTCTAATGGTTAGGCGCTTGCGCGTGGGACTGATAGGTTCTGGGTTCGGATCTCGCGAGGCGAGGTCGTGGGTGTGCACTGCTGAGGAATCCCACAAAAGGATGAAACAGCCGTCCAGCGCTTCCAGGTTTTCCGTGGTGGTCTAGCTTCGATCGACTCATGAATGTAACTATTACATTACTATAATATCCACAAAACCCCTCTCTGACAATTATTTATTTATTACCTGTTATATATTGTAGTAAATATTAATAAACTAGTTCAAAAACGCGACTAATTCAAGTTTATTACTCTATGGATAGTATGAACATGAGTGTTGTAATTTTCCTAAAGTGCTAGTGAGAAGTCGTGATTGTTCGAATTCAAACACATTGGGAGTAAAACAGTAGTTACCAGTGGCAATAAATGATCATACAGTATCGCAAATAGACTGAAGAGGACGAAACGGCTGTCTAGTGCTTCCAGGTTTCCTAGGGTGGTCTAGCTTCAATTGACTCATGATTTCAACTATTGAAATAGTTTTATGTTTATTAAATAGTTCTTTTGTAAATTTAATACTTCCCATAATCAACATTTTAACTATTTTTCAGGATTAGATAAGGCTGAATGTGAGTTTTCTTTTTTATTGTTTATGAAAGTCGTTATATTAATAAATAGTCACATTCACTTGTGATACATTACATAATCTATCATTTTACAAGTAATTCACAAATATATCAGTATTGATATTTCAAAGGGAAATGAAAAATTATGAATTACACTGTTGAGCAAAATGTTGAATTTATTTTACGTTGATTTACAGAAAGTTTTATAAATATAATTTTCTTCTTAATGTATTACATTAACTCGACCCCAAGTACTGAGCAACTAATCGTTCAGAAAAACGTCCTTATAAATTTATTAATACTACTTTTTATAGGAACTACACATTAACGGCGGACAGTGTTCAAATCTTATCCTTTTTTCTTAAATTCTATGCATCATTTACGTATTTCAAAAGAAAGAAACGTCGATCTATGAAAAAAAACATCCACAATACTTGTAAGAGTCTATTAGTTTTTTTCGTGTTTTCACATTATTAATTGTTAATCAGATTAATAATTAAAAACGAACAGGTAGTTTTTCGGTTGATTCAATTCAAAATGATTTTCAAAGATATTACCAAGGCAATAGATTTCAAAACAAAATTCTATGCATATATTCTCAAATGAATACTTGTCAGCTAAATGATACAAGTGATTGACTTGAAGACATAAACAAAATACATATCAAGTTAAAGAATAAAGAAGAGTTATCCACGACAATAATGAAGAGCACTAAATACTCTTCATTTTTAAAAAAAGCAAACATAATAAATACATCAAAAAATCTTGTAGTAACCTCCCACATTCACTCATAATTGTTCCTAACTGAGCTGGTTTAATGCTCAAATTTCAGTAGTACATTAGATGTGTTACTTAATATCCCATTAATTACTGTACATTAACACAGATTATTTATCGATGTACATTTTTATTGGATACGTGTTAATGTGTATCTGTTTGCTTATTTATTTATTCCATTAAATTTATAGATTTATAAACAGTACAGTTTACCTGCTGAACTGTATGTATGATATCACTTTCGCAAAATATTTCTTATCCGACTAATTTATATGGCATTTTTAACTAAACCTACTTACACAACGTGATGTTTCAGAAGTTAACTCGAAACTTTTAGTCTAGAAATTAAATGAGGATTTAAAATTATCAAAGTTATTTTGGACTACAGAGAGAGTTATTGCTGGAAATGTTCACAAGAAAAATAAAGTGAAAATTCATTAAGAGAAAATTCTAAATCACAAATTAGTATTTCTATTTGTAATCTGTATATTAATTGCACAGATTATGAGCTATGAGAAACATTTAGTGCGTTGTAAAATCAACAAAATTTTTTCGGATCACATTTTAAGAAAAAATGTCATATTTTCAGACGATGTACGTCTGACCATTAGGTTTTACTTTCACAAATACGTTTGGATGGTAGCGATACGGCATGATAAATAATTATGTAGTGTCTCTGAAAAAAACAGTGGTTCTCATGAGAAAGTTCACTTTTGATTCAGCTAGCTTTATAGCTGAAAAAATAGAGAAAGAATAATCAAAAATCAAGTTAAAAGTCAGTACGAAATGATGCACACAGGATGCTTCATGGACCAACTTATCATAAACATAAATGTGACACATTGGAAACATTAGCAGGCTAGTCATTTAAAATAAGTTTATTAAGAAATAACAAATAAGGGGAGAAAAGTAATCCAGTGAGAATAAATTTATCAAATCATACATTTGGAGCTGTCTGAAATTAACGAAAAGAAGAATATAAAAGAAAAACCCACAACGACACATCATATCAATTGTATGCAACGAAAGATGGTCACACAGTATCGCGAACTGATTCAAGTTAGATATATACACTAATATCAGTTCGTGGTGTGAACTGTAGAAAAAAATTCAATGATATCCACAAAGCCCCAATACTAAAAATAAAAGAATAAAAATGTACATACCTCAAATACTAAGTAACCACTGATCGAACAGCGCGTATAGTTACCCAGGTTACTCTATAAAATGAAAAATGAGGGTCCGTTTACAGTTACTTTTACAATAAAGTAAATAAACCAGACTTTAGCAAGTTGATATACGTGACATATCTGTAGTAACGTTATATAAAATATGATGAACACGGAAAATTGTTTGATAGTAATAACTGGAATTCACCTAATCAGCGATCTGTGACTGAAAACGTCTACATTTATTGGGATGTATGTATATTTAGACGGCATGTTTCAAGTCGACTGAAAAACACATACTACATTCCATCACTAGCCAATAAAAAATGATATGAAAATGTGTTCGCCGGGCATTATAGCATTAAATCATCAGTACAAGCAGCCAACTATCATGTGACCTTAAGGACTTGATTTTTCTTATGGACCAAAAATGTAAAAAATGTAATCCCTCAATAGGTATATATAGTTTCAAACAAAACGCTACTAGAGAAGTTGGTGTGAATGCCAATGAAGCTAATTTCTACTGAGACAAAGTAGAATAAGTTTACGGCTGATAGCCGAATGCATAAATTACTACATGATGAGGAAAAGTATTACTGAAAAAACTGTCACAGAAAAACCTATTTTGCAATACTCCCTGGTTTTCTATTTTTTACAATTGATCGGTCATTGAGTAGTGACAATATCATGACTATATAGTCCTTTATTGATGATAGACCTCTGTAGATCAAGTTGCGATGTGGCTACTGGTTTATTTAGGTAGCTTGACATCACATGGAATACGTTAACGTATCAACTAGCATTAAATCTAGATTCAGAATCTCCTGCCAACAACTTCCAACCACCTAATATCTTGTTATTTAATTTGGCCTTTAGCTGGTTCTGATTGATAAAAAAGTATCAACTAAGAATAAATTTGTTAAGATAATGACATAAAATTGAGAAAAAAATTTATGTTCATAAGTAATCACTTACTTTGTATGGAGTTGACAAATTGAAGTGAATATAATTTGATTCTATCAAATTGAAATGAGATGCACGAGCATCCCATAACTTTATTGAACAGTTTGAATATTCTATGGATGTATTTTCACTGATAGAAATATGGGGATTAATTGAACCATGGATGAAATGATTTAACTTTAAAAGGAGTGAAAATCAAGAAAAATCTCAACAGTATATGATGTTAGCATTACAATTTTATGAGAAATCAGTCAGTAGAACAAGACTTTAATATATGCAGTAAAAATAAAGGTAAAAGTGGAGGATAAGTTAAGCTTGTTTTTACTAACATTTGGTTTTCATAGAGCTGTCACTACAATTACTGAACAATTACAATTGACGTATACAACACGGGATTGCTCTGTGCGAGTGTGTGTTCCCAAATAACTGTTAGCAGCTAATATACTAATGAATTTATACGACGAACTCTTAGCACTGATGTTTCGCAAAAGTATCGGCTAAACTTGATAATTTAGTGATGTTGAAAACATTAGTTAACTGGTTGAAATTAGCTTTATACATGTTTAGTTAGTCTATTTTGAAAGAATTCTTTGTCAGACCAAAATATATCTGTAAAGTGATCAACTGCTTCTTTTTCGATATACTATAAAAGATTATAAGAATTCATGGTTTGAAGGGTTGGATAACACCCATTAAGAGATTTGTCGAGAACAGTTGCACGTAAAGCCATTTTGCCTCTAAAAAGAATGATTTTTTTTAAAAACAATGTTTTGTTGAAAATAATGTAACTAGTTTGTAGAAGGATTACAGGTAAGTGAATACTGACCTTCTATAAACTATCTAATTCAATAACATCTTAAACATTATGATAGCAAAAGCAGTCAATATCTAAATGAAAAGTAATATTATTACTAATTGAGATGATAACACTATTCAATTTAAGCGTGTATTTGTAAGTGATTCCACTGTATAACCTAAGTGAATTACACTGCAGCATAGATTGAATACTATACATATATATAAAAATTTTCAGCTCAGGTCACCATTCGGAAAATTTACGGACTAATATTATTATCCAAAGTTTTTTTCAATCTATTTCTACTAGAATCAACGTATAGCATCAAAGTAAATGGTGTACATTTTTAATCATAATAAAATATTCTAACTGGAAACAAATCTGGTTTTTGTCCAGTACTTTATTCATCGTCAATTCTATTACATTTCTGGCTTTGGAATACGAAAGATAAATAAAAAAAACTGAAAAATACTTACACTATTGGCATATTTCGATTCCAAACTATGTTTAATTTCATCTAAGTGATTATGTATTTCCCTTTGAACACTGTCATAAAACCAATAAAAATATTAGTTTTAATGTTGTATAATTCCTATATATATCTATAATGTTTTATTAAATTATTCCAATTGATTTTTCAATGGATGGAGGAATAGATTAAAATCCATGGAAAATATCATCATATTCAGTCATATTCAAAAATTCCAAACAAGTTGAATATACTACCAAACGAAATAAAATAGAATCTATAGGTCAACGATTAGGTTGTATGATTGAGCTCTATGATATCTAATTTAATCTAGATAATTGAGTAGTTTTTGTACTGGAACCTCATACAAAATGTGTGGTTGATGGATGAACATAGAAAAGTTTAATAGTTTATTAAGATTCATTAAACTAATGGAATGGGAAAATTATGGAATTATACCTCTATTGTTACATAACGATTATTTATTTAGGGATAGAAAATGTGTAGTTAAGACTATTCAGAAAATATATGAACAGTTTAAATAAATAATTATCATATTAACATGAAAAAATTAACGGTTCTACCTGTAAGGGCATAAACATGAAATTCTGACGAGATAATCATAGATTTTCGGGTGAAAGGCTTAGTGAAGCAAAGTAACATATTTTAGACGTCATGATGATGAAGATATAATATAAACCACGATGACGGTAAGAAGAATTATTTATATGTGAAAATCTAAAAAAACAGATTTAATTACAGTAAACCTTCAAATCGTTTTTTACTGTCTGAAATTGTTCATATTCAAGTGACTGAAAATGAAAAACAACCTAGATATATCATATTTTGGGGTAAAATTTAACTCATCTATGCTTTTCTCTACCCAGTTTTGGCGGAAAAAAAGAACAACTAAAAGTATATTCGTGAATGAAATAAACAACACCTACTTAGCCTGCAACTGATTATCAGGAAGTTGTAAAAGTGACTCAGATATGTACACATTTCCAATATGAAAATCTTGATAAGAAACAACAGGATTACTGAGGTTACCCGAATGAACTAGCTGATCTGGTAGAAGAATTAGTCCAGGACAATCGTTGTAATGCCAAACTAATAGAATATATCTGAATAATAATGTACAAATAAATATACGAATCGTGTAAGATATTAGTCATATTCATTACTCTTAACAAAAAAGAAATATCACATACAACCTTCCTATTTCTCATTAACCAACCATGACATGATAATACTAAGTGGAATACAGGATCAGTTGTGAAAAAAAATCAGGAAGGAATATTCCAATGATTTTCGCAGTCTACGGCATGTATGATAAAATAAATAGGTAATAGAACATCTATGAAAAATACACAGTTGATTGACTATCTGAATTTAGTAGCTAAGTGGAAAACGAGACGATGATCGAAGTGAAAGTTACTGGGTTCGAGTCACGGAGTAAACATCAACTCCGGGACGCAAGTTCATTATTATTATTATTATTATTATTATTATTATTATTATCATTATTATTACTATTATTATTAGCTCTATCCAATATTATATTTTTGGTACAATATGGAATCCTTATCACATAGTATTTCAACAAGTTTCCATTTATTTCTTGGTTGATCCAGTGCTAAAAGTATTCTTTGCCATTTTGAGAACCCGGAGCAGTTAATTCTGCTTTATAAGTAATTAGTACTCAGAACATATCTGGTTATTGGGCAACCAAGTAGAAATTTCTATAGCTAATTTTAAGTCTTACACTTTTTTGTAAGGGTTAATGATATTATTAGGTTGTTCAAACAAATGTAGGTGGACCGAGGTTCAAACCTGAAAATTAGTAATAAGTGGTCAGATGTCCAAACTACTCGGCTCGAGCACTCAAAATGAACCTGTGGAAACAACACCACAAAAGAAACAGGAGACGATAAACTGTTATCAAACTAATTCTTTACCAAAAAAAACTCAATTATTGCACAGATATATTTACATTGTATACTTCCTTTTCCGGATTTTCTTATTATTCAACACATTTATTAATCGTTTTTTATTATTCCTTGATGATACCTATTTTGTTATTTTTCATTTCATCGACGTTTTGTCTTTGTTCTACCATAAATTAGGACAACTTGAAATGATGCGATTTCGGGTATAAAGTTCTACATTGGTGTGTATGGATTGTCTCAGTCAGTCAGTCAGTAACAACGTAGAACTTCGTACGTACGTACATCAGTTCGAGTTGCCATACCACATTAGCACAGAGATGCAGTGGTCGACTCAAATCCCGTAGTGGTAGAGGTAGTAAGAGTATAAGCAGTAATCGGAAAGATTAGGGTCTGAAGATGTTATTCAAGGAGTATAATACAGTGAAATAAATTTGGGAAGAGAAAAAAGTGACAAGGAGGAATCAGGAGATTAGAATTTGGGAGAGCACAAAACGTGGATGCACTTGCGCCATTGCAAACGATTTTGAGCCATGTCATTCAGGGTCTCTAGCCATCGGTTGCTATCATCTTGCGGTCCCCAACCAGGTAGTCTACACCTACCAACATGGCTCAGTCCACTTGTCAGTGACTTCATGGACTTGTGCCATGTTTTGGTCTGGTCGCCCCTAGCTTTCTTCCAACCTACTCCTATAACAGTGGCATGCCTATTATATTTCTTATGACGCCTAATCTTTCCCATAAAATATCGTCCTCGACAATTATAACACACACTCTGTTGTTTCCAGTCATATTACTTAAAAGGTAAAAATTTTCATTTCAAGACACCTTTTAGCTTCAAAACATGTAAACATTATGCTGCGTAGCACAAAAAAGTAAATTTAAATGAAAACTGAATGCACTCAGTTATTACTGCATTATTTCACCAACCTTAATTTCTTCAGTAACCAAAATCGATAGCAACCCAAGACTAAAAAACACTTCCTATTAAATATTTCTGTCAACATATTTTCCGAAGAATCCTGAAACGTTTGAATGACAGATGACTTTGGTTCTGCTAATCCCTTAATCCGAAATAAATACATCAAGAAATTTGAGAATATAGTTATATCACTTAAAAACGATTAAGTAGTATTATAAAGTGCATATAATAAAACTCATTGGATTCAAATACATGATTGTACATCTTTGAATTTAAAAAAAATTGAAATCGAATCCACAGTGTTAATACTATTTGTATTAGTTTTTGACGTACATTTAAAAGTTATTAATTTCTAAATGGTCTCAAAATATAGTGCCGCCACTAAGTGGCATGAGCTGCAGAACCATTAAAATTTTGAGAGCATGGAATAATTGTTTCATCTTAGTCTACAACTGTCAGGGAATGCTAGTCATCCAGACTCCTCAAATCTCATAATGAAAACGATACTTAAAATGACCCATTGTGTCAATAAATAAGAAAAAGAGTATCCAGAGAAGAAAATTTTATTTTCGACGAGATCATTTACTTAAGCTGTACATTAGTATTTATAGTTATATGGAAAACATATGTCTATAGAAGGATAGAAAAGATTGAATCATAAATTGATTTGAGACTTTTTACAGATTAAGTACCCAATGTTTCGAAATTCATATGTACAGACTAACCGGGATTCATTGTGATGGTACCCAATCGAAATCGTCAGTGATTAACTGTCTCAATTGTGGCTAAATTAATTTCATATATAATGATTTTCACAAGGGAGTCGTCCATGAAGATCAGTCCTATCTACGATTCGGCTGCATGAAGGATGAACAAGCAGGTACTCCGAAATGAACTAAATTCTGTTTACAAATAGTTTCAATATTTTCAAGTTCGATGCATTCTCAATTGATATTTAAAAACTGACGACTATTTTGGCTAAAATTTCTTAAAGCTTTGTGTAAGAATTACTATACAAATGGAATTCGAAGATAGTGAGGAAAAACCTAGTTAACTTGGTATTCAGTTAAACGAAAATCCAAATCACTGTATTAAGTGATAACTGACAAAAACCAATTATAACAATAAAAACACTGGAGTGAAATAGACCAGTATAAACTTTTTAGAGGAAGAATTATTGGATGTATGTGCACGATGAGTATCCGTTACTTAACATTTCCAATCATAAGGAAAACATGAGACACACAATCAACCATATTTCTTTATGTGGTTACATATAAGAAGTGCATCATATTACAATATTTTGAGAAGGGTGCATTATGTAAAGTTTACCTTCTACACAGAAATCATAACGAACTGCCTACTATATTGACTCAATTCTAATGTGTAGACAAATGCATACAAAGATAAATGTGGAACAATTCAGTAAGTTATTCAATAATTTGGATTTAAATAAATATGTAGCCCTAATATTCATGATTAGAAAAAAGAAAAAGTGATAGAGAGGAGAGAAATAATTATTAAAGTATATGTATGGGAATCTATGAATGACATAAACAATAGCGTGGGTGTTTTATATTATATATTATGGGAAAGTTCAAAACCACACACTAACGACAATAAACACTGTTTCAAACTACCTAATCAGAGAATAATACTAGCGAAAAACGTCTAATCAGCTTACTTTAAAACGTTTTGGACAATTCAAAACAATAAATGGATCACCTACACAGAAAATAAACAAAAGAGAAATAAAGTAGGTTATATGATGGAGTTTTAAGAGGAAAAAACATGAGTGCTAAGAAAGAAATTCTCATTTTATTAAAATAGAAATAAGTATAAACTAAACAAAAAATAAACTTTTCAATAAACTCCCATGTTCTACAGTTATAAATCTAAATTAATGTTTAAGATTACAAGATGATTTCACTCACTCTATGTGTTCTCTAGAGTTACTTATACTATTAATCTTTTACGAACAAAGATGGACAGCGGCTAGCGGCGGAATTCAGGACGCACGTTTCGTCCCATTTGGGACTCGTTAGCTGGATGCACCCGCATTCCAGAATTGACGTTCACTATGGGACTCGGACCCATTGCTGTTCGCTTCAAACGTCATCGCGTTATCCACTTACCTACTGAGTCCTGTTAGCCGATTGCTTGTGCAGTGGCAATACGCACAGTATATACATATGCCAATAAAGGACTAATCAATTGTAGTTCTAAACATCAATGGGACGATTCAAGTAAATAATACCACGTGAACGTATACAAAATTGTTGCGCTTTGAAAAAGGCACAAACAACTGCTGTAATCATAAGTTTATGATTCAACAACTTATAAGTCACAGCAGAAGTAAAAACCTAGAAAATTCCAAGTCTATTTGACCATACTATGCAATAATGAATAAATACAGGGATATATACGAAGCTTTGAGCTGGAGAACAAAACCCCACCAAAATCATTCACTTGAGCTACAAATCTTCTCCACCATATCAATATATACGAAGCTTTGAGTATAAATATTTTAATGGAAGATCCACTAACATCATTCGGTTATCCAGACTGAATTAGGTGGATTTGAAGCTGTAAAACCTAATAGTCAAAATTTGAATGCTTTAACTATAGGGCCAGTGTTCAGATCATGGTATTTATTGGATATGAATTGAATCAATTAACTTAAGATTTGAAAAGTCCAACTTATATATGCCATAAGAGTGCTAATAAAGGACTTTGAATTAAAGAATATCCATTTTCGTTGCTAATTAGCAAGTAGATAGAGCCAACATTTATAGAATGACAAACAAATACAAACAACTTACATGATATTAAACATGAACAAGTAATTAGTTCAGGTTTATGAGGGATTATTTGGGAATTAGGAAAATCATTTTCTACATCACTTAAAACCTCATGTCTTAAACGTTCAACCCAGAAGAATGAATACATCACAGGCAAACTATTGAATTCATGAGAAGGATATGTTAACCTACCACCAGAAAGAAAACAAATAAACGCTCCCATAAATTACAATAGAAAGGCAAAATCAGAACTGAACTGTTAAAAAAGATCCATCTAGAAGGATGTAGATATCCTTAAAATAAAAAAGTATGATTATAAAGTCCTTTTAAGTCTCTCATTATTAGTATAAAATACTATTATTTCCATACACCGAAAACTTATAAGTAAATAAATAACCGAATTATCATAGATTATGTTTCGATTCTGTAACTGGTACCAAGCAACATAATATATGGCTTACCGATTCTAAATATGGTCATGTCTCCTGCAGCATTTATTTCTCTATACAACTGTCACGGATCCCAAAGATCTGGTAATAACTCCAACGACAACTGCGATACCATAAAAACTAGCGCTGCTAACTTCAAGTTCCCCAGCAACTCAAAAAGATCAATCTTATTGAACGAGACTAAAGCCATTTCAAATATATATTGATTCAGTTATTATTAATTATACGGTTCTATTTACTGGGTAATTGCAACTGAATACAAAATCATAGTGAAATAATCAGCACAAAGAAAATGCATTAAGTACCAAATAACTAAATACAACTGCCATAAGCTGGAAGTCAATTAATAGCATTTACGAAAATGAGCTTAAATTGACTGAGCGAAAATCACCTTAAGTTGATATGCGACAATACTACTGATTTTCTTTCTCGTACATTACATTTAAGAATACAGTACCTCCAATAATGACCATAATTTATTTAGATGAATGATACAGAATGATCTAGGGTTTGAAGTTATCCACAAAACACGGAAACTTTGACTCAATTCTTAAAATGTAAAAATATACATCGACCTAGATGAATGTCTAAATGTAGGCAGAGAAATGAGTAAGAAGTTTTATTATAAACTGATTTATGATCCCGTTCGATCTTGACATTTGCTGGAAATTATATAACTACAGATTTTAATCGTTATCGTGTACATGAACTTCATTGTCTACATTCGAAATCAATGCCGTCACATGTCAAAATGCGGTCAGAACAACAAATCTATGTGAATTTCACCAATCTTATGAAGTGGTATTTCATACTGGCTTCCAGCCTTTTGAAGAGGTTTTGAAATTTGGATGGTACAAATTTATTTCATGGTGGTCACTGGCATCTAAGATGATCACTCCTTTTTTATTCAGTCTATCTGTCTTATCACTTCAAAATTAAGATAAAATCTTTATTTTTAATATAAATTTATGGGGAAGTCAGTATGATGAAAATCAAACTTTTTTGGAAAATATAAACAAAATCAATTTATCGAAATTAACTATACAGTAGAATAACCTACCATGGACTAAATACCATAACAAGATCGCCACATTTTAAATCATTGCCTAAAACGAAATTTGTTGCAGCGGATGAAAACAACTCTTCTGTAACAAAAGGGACACCAGAAATAGGTAGAAGGAGGATCGCGAATTTGTTTGATACATTTTCATTAGCATTAGATATTTCAGTTTTATTTTCTAAAGGTATTACAACTTCACGCACACCGAATGCTACTAATCCAGGCAAACTATCTGAATAATTACGAAATACTCTAAGAACTTGAAAAGTTTTCGAACCATGCTTAGTAGAATCTATAAGAAAATATATATGATAAATTTTATGAAAAATTCGAAAAGAGAGCAGAATTAATTGTTAAAATCGAATTTCCCTAAATTAATTTTTAAAGTGAGCAATTATACGTAAACTCGTGTCACCTTTCTGAATTCATGATGAGCCCAATGAATAGTGCTAACGACATACATATGACTACTTATTTCGTACATACGTTCATGAAAAGTTATATGAAGTCGAGTATGAGTATTTTGGGGACGTATATTTCATATATGTGAATATTAGGCAGTAGAAAACCGTAAGAAACGCAGGCAGATATGTACAGCGTTGGAGTTCCGTAGTACAGCGAATTCGAGAAAATTAAGAGTGACTCTAGCTTACAAACGGTGTAAAAAATACAAGTAGATACATATATGTATAAGGAAACAATCGAGGTTAAAACTGAATAATTAACGAACCAATCTGTACAGAATAATTAGTAACATCAAAATAATTAGGCTACCTAGAAACAGAACAAACTCATGTGGGGTTATAACAGGCAAACCAATACAAACGCTTTAGAAAGGGCTTAAATGACTATACGAAGTAACAATGAAGTCACTGGTAAGGACAAAATGAGAAAAAAAGAAAGGATGTAGTATTCTTAAGAAACAACCAAAGGTTACTCGAATGTCATACAATAATTTGTGGTTAATTGATGAGAAATGATTCTCCGGTAATCATATCATCAATCAACAGAATCATTTTACATTAAAGTGTAAAAATTTCAAGCTGGAAAGTCTTACTGAATAAAGCTGCAGTTACAGTTCATAAATACATTATTTAAACACTAAGTGAGAAGGGTTCATTACATTCAATTCTAAATATATGGTGTGTGGACGTTTGGCAGAAATTTTGAGTTAGAAGGTAGAGCAAAATAACAGAGACCTCGAATGCCACATATCTCCAACATGATTGACCAAGCCAGTGAAATGATGTTGGCATATTAGTAAGTATCGGCCTCAATAGTTGTTGAGACAATACAGATGCTCAGATAAGGTGCCAGGTTCATATAGAATTGCTAGCAGTGGAACCCAGGAAGCGCGTCTTGTCCTATTTTGTAATTGTCGACTGCATGTACTTGCATCTCAGAATGCCAGGTTCATACTTTATGCAACTTACTAACCAAATGGTTCAGAGCTACAATCGCATGATATGTCAAGAACTAAACAAGTTAAGATTAAAACTGGGAGGAACTGACCAAATATCTTGTGAGTTACTTATTAAATCAATGAACCATTAAGTTTAAAACCTGTGAGATACTGCAATGAAAACAACATCTGGGTGACCAATCTAAAAACGGAATGGAAAAGATGAAAACAAGTGTGCAGCAGCATTTTTAGCCAAATCATACTAGTTATTAACGAGGGGGAAGATTAGTTGCTGATAATGAAAAATGGTTGCCCTAGTTAGACCATTCAAGGAAGTGTTTTGGGGCCGCACTGTAAACCCTAATCACCTATAAGATAATCGAATACTCAACACAAAATTGTACCATGACTAGGTGTGCTGAGAGAAGAAAGGATGGGAAACAAACCAAGTAACTGTCTTTTTACTTGACACATTATCCAATCAAAAGACTAAAAATACGAAAGGGTAACTGACAAACTTGGGATTTGTATATACAAATAATCAAGGCACTATGCTAAGACTTGCTATAGATGACAAATTTGTTTTAAAACCTTAAAACGGATTTTAAAAAGTATAAACTTTTGCTCGATGAATATTCGTACACCTACTGAGAGGTATTTCAGAGTCTCAAACTTGGAATTTTCAGAAAGTTACAAAAGCTGCGAGCATTCTATTGTGAAAATATTAAATAACCATGACTCATATTTCATTTTCTTCTTGGTTAAATTAAACCAACCCTTTACGACTTCATAATTTGATAAGTATAATAAACCATGCATAGAAATTACCAAGGATATTTTGAGTTGAACGTTGATGCAACCAGATAGAACGTTCTGAAGAGTTACGTTTGACCAAATAGTGGAGTTTTCGCAATATACTATTCCTAAACACAAACCATATCAAAACTGTTAGTATATTAAAATATACTTTCGTAATATAATAATAGAAAGTAATTGGAAAATGGTGGTAAACGATAACAACACCCAACGGCCATCATTATTAAATTATTGTAAATATAAGGCAGTGAAACATGGCCGGTAAGGGTAGAGGATATTCGTACGTTACTTGTATTTGATCATAGGTGCCTTCGAAACATTGCTCGTATATCCTGGAACCACCGAGTAAGTAACGCGGTTGTTAGGAAACGGGTACTAGGCAGGGATGGCGAATCCATTGAAGTAGTGAAACTTCATCAGTTGAGACGGCTGGGACACGTGTTACGTATGCCCAACGACCGACTACCTCGACGTGCTATGTTCAGTGGTATAAGAATAGGTTGGAAGAAAGCTAGAGGCGGCCAAACCAAAACATGGCACAAGTCCATGAAGTCACTGACAAGTGGACTGAGCCATGTTGGTAGGTGTAGACTACCTGGTTGGGGACCGCAAGATGATAGCAACCGATGGCTAGAGACCCTGAATGACATGGCTCAAAATCGTTTGCAATGGCGCAAGTGCATCCACGTTTTGTGCTCTCCCAAATTCTAATCTCCTGATTCCTCCTTGTCACTTTTTCTCTTCCCAAATTTATTTCACTGTATTATACTCCTTGAATAACATCTTCAGACCCTAATGTTTCCGATTACTGCTTATACTCTTACTACCTCTACCACTACGGGATTTGAGTCGACAACTGCATCTCTGTGCTAATGTGGTATGGCAACTCGAACTGATGTACGTACGTACGAAGTTCTACGTTGTTACTGACTGACTGACTGACTGATTATAAATATAATATAAGTAAAAATAAAAATAAAACTATTCACTACAAATTAGCATTCTACTAAAACTACTTAATAGCACATTTTCTATTAATGACATTAAATACTGTTCGTTAACCTAACGGATGTTTTGATATAAGAATCAATTTTAGTAGAGGATATCTCATACTAGCGAGTATTACAGCAATAGAAAAACTAAAAAATAATGATATTTCGATAATTGTAAAAATTTGACTGAAATGAAGAAACAATATTCTTTAGATAACTTTATAAATGTATTCATTTTATACACTCGGATGCATACATTCGTGGATTTTTGAGAAGATTCAACCCCTAAAGTAACGAAAAAATCTTTACTCCAGAAGCTTCAAAGCTTTTAAGATATTTACACTCTGGTTTTATCATACTAGCTTGATTATTGCCGTCAGGCTAACAAAAATGACTAGATTCACATTTCTAAGCGGATAAATAAGTTGATATACCTTCATATCTTAGATGTCAATAGAAACTGTTGACAATGTACAATACTCATCTTATCTCTGAATATCAACAAAGCACTAAGTGTATCCTTAAATTTTTACCACTATTACTGAAGAAACTGTAACACACACCCCCTGATGGCGACCAACGTTGTCAATAACTCTTCAAAAAATCACTTTAAGTACGACACAAGTATGTTACTGACAAATAGTCATTTTCAAATAGATGCACAATGTAAATGCAATACGTACGAAGATATTCGACGAGGAAGAGATTTGACAGTCAGATTTGTATAAGGGAGCTCTGAACAATCTCGTTGCAACTCAGTAAGATAACATAAGGAATCAAAGTTAGATTCATCGAGATTTGTGAATTCATTCTGATTGACAACTTCAGTCACAGAACTTGGCTGAGAATACTCACAAATTACAGCATTTTCATTTTGAGAGGAAACTGAAGACGAACAGTTACCGGAAATCAAATTCTGGATCTGCTGGAACTCATTCGGTGACTGGAATAAGAAACAAAAACAATCAATGAACATTGACTTGAGATTTTTAGGTAAAAACTAAATACATGAAATATCTGTATGTTCACACTACTTCAAACAAAACGCACAGATGACATTTTCAAAAATGTAATATATATGCAATTAAAATTCTTTTTATTTCTCGTGGTTCCAAAAACATTAAGCTGATTACTTTGGACTGCTCACACCCATATTACAATACATCCAATATGTTAAGTCGGTCAAGCAAAATGTCGATAGTTGCAAAGATGGTGCAAGCTAACTAAATGTATACACACTTAGCAGAAAACTACAACCTCGACAAAGTAAGGACATTCACTTGTCATCATACCGACCGGAATACTTGTGTCATAAATCCTTACTCTGTTAAAAAGGTTTACTAAAGAGCAGAAAAACGAAGTGTGAATTGCTGCAGAGTGAATAGCTGCACCATGACTTCTTGTCGTTTATCTGGATCTATGGTGTCGGTAGGTTTAATAAACAGATGTAACTTTGCAAAGGCTAATGCCATTAGAAAGAATATGTTTGACTGATTTTAAATCTCTTCTAATATCCAAATTGTTAAGTCAATTTCGGACATTTGATGAAAATTTTAGTTGTCAGTCAATAGACAGATCGACAAAGATTCAATCTATCAGACCATGCGAAAAAAGATGAATCAACTAAATGATCTAACAATGACGGCTGAAAAAGCTGCAAGCGACGGAAACATGAGACAATTGTACGATACAACAAAGAAACTCGCTGGAAATAGCCGCAAACCAGAACGGCCAGTGAAAAGCAAGGAAGGCAAGGTAATCACCAACATTGAAGAACAACGAAACAGGTGGGTAGAACACTTCAAAGAACTCATGAAACAACCAGCCCCATTGAACCCACCCAAAATCGAAGCAGCACCCACGGACCTCCCAATCGATGTTGGCCCACCAACAATTGAAGAAATAAACTTGGCTATCAGACAAATCAAGAGTGGCAAAGCAGCAGGACCAGAAAACATTCCAGCAGAGGCACTGAAAGCAGACGTAGCGGTAACTGCAAGGATACTCCACATTCTCTTCAATAAGATTTGGGATGAGGAACGAGTACCAACAGATTGGAAAGAAGGACTTCTGATCAAAGTACCAAAGAAAGGCGATCTCAGCAAGTGTGATAACTACAGGGGCATCACTCTTCTCTCAATACCGGGAAAAGTCTTCAACAGGGTATTGTTAAACATGATGAAGGAATCCGTAGACCCCAACTTCGAGACCAACAGGCAGGATTCCGTAAGCATCGATCATGTACAGACCAAATCACAACACTACGGATCATTGTGGAACAATCAATTGAATGGAATTCATCACTCTACATCAACTTCATTGACTACGAGAAAGCATTTGACTCTGTGGATAGGACAACACTATGGAGTCTTCTTCAACACTACAGCGTGCCTACGGAAATAGTCAATATCATACGGAATTCCTATGATGGATTAAACCGCAAAATCGTGCATTGAGGACAATTAACAGACTTGTTCAAGGTAAAGACCGGTGTCAGGCAAGGCTGCTTACTCTCACCCCTTCTCTTTCTTCTGGTGATCGACTGAATCATAAAAACGTCAACATCTGAGGGGAAGCATGGGATAAAGTGGACAACTAGAATGCAGCTGGACGATCTAGACTTCGCGGATGATCTGGCTCTTCTATCGCACACGCAACAACAAATGCAGGAGAAGGCGACCAGTGTAGCAACAGCAGTAGGTCTCAACATTCACAAAGGGAAAAGCAAGATTCTCAGATACAACACAGCATGCAACAATCGAATCATACTTGACGGAGAAGCTTTGAAAAATGTAAAAGCCCTTACATATCTGGGCAGCATCATTGATGAACACAGTGGATCTGATGCAGATGTAAAGACGCGGATCGGCAAACCAAGAGCAGCATATCTACAACTGAAGAACATCTGAAACTCAAAACAACTGTCAACTGACACCAAAGTCAGAATTCTCAATACAAATGTCAAAACAGTTCTACTATATGGGGCGGAAACTTGGAGAACTACGAAAGCCATCATCCAGAAGATACAAGTGTTGATTAATAGTTGTCTACGCAGTCAGTCAGTAACAACGTAGAACTTCGTACGTATGTACATCAGTTCGAGTTGCCATACCACATTAGCACAGAGATGCAGTTGTCGACTCAAATCCCGTAGTGGTAGAGGTAGTAAGAGTATAAGCAGTAATCGGAAACATTAGGGTCTGAAGATGTTATTCAAGGAGTATAATACAGTGAAATAAATTTGGGAAGAGAAAAAGTGACAAGGAGGAATCAGGAGATTAGAATTTGGGAGAGCACAAAACGTGGATGCACTTGCGCCATTGCAAACGATTTTGAGCCATATCATTCAGGGTCTCTAGCCATCGGTTGCTATCATCTTGCGGTCCCCAACCAGGTAGTCTACACCTACCAACATGACTCAGTCCGCTTGTCTACGCAAAAGACTTCGGATCTGTTGGCCAGACACTATCAGCAACAATCTACTGTGGGAGAGAACAAACCAGATCCCGGCGGAGGACGAAATCAGGAAGAAGCGCTGGAAGTGGTTAGGACACATTGGGGAGAGAACCCAATTGCGTCACAAGACAAGCCCTCACATGGGATCCTCAAGGCCATAGGAGAAGAGGAAGACCAAGGAACACATTAAACCGAAAAATGGAGACAAGCATGAGAAGAATGAACAACGATTGGACGGTACTAAAAAAGAAGGACAGAGTGGGATAGAGAATGCTGGTCAGCGGCCAACAGGTGTAAGTAAATAAGAGGCAAGTAATTTTAAGTCTTTAAAAAAACACGCGTTATAGCTGTAAGATAGTGTACCCGGAATGTTATCTGGTATACTCAACCTTTGGTAACCGAATCGACACTATACTTTGATAGGTAGTATAAGTTAGTGATAATATTTCTTACATGTTAACACTGTCAAACAGCACAAAAACCAAGCCCTATATGTCTTACAGATTTTCATTCGCGTACATCCCTCACAAGATAGTATCTCAAGACGTTTTGTGTGAGGAAAGGAAACACCAAAAGCATAAAACAAATCACTCAATACCTCAGCGCTGTCTTAAGACAATCTCTATTCCTAACCTTTTAACTACAACAATCGATTAATTTTCCTTATTATGAGCCTAAAAGGATGATCATTTTATACATTTCAATATCGGCTGTGTAGTATATGAATACTGCTGGACGTTTTATGGAAACAAAAATACAGTTAGGATGTACAACTGACCAACTTTCATGGAAAGATTAAAAATGAATAGGCAAACTTCACTAACAAGGGGTTCATCTAAATTTTCGATGCTTAATAGTTGATGGCCTAACTCAAAGGTCTCTCCCTCTGGCGATGACGTCGGCGAAATATTTATGCAACCTTCATCTTCTTGACTTTTTGTATTGATTACGATCCTCGAATCGGGTGCAACACGGCTGAATGACCGTTTAGATCGTAAACTATTTGTAGGACCGAAAGAACAGATCCAAGATGAAGAGTCATTAATTGAAACACTAAAAATTATTAAAAGAGAAGCGTTACCTCTTACGCGGAACACAAATACGTTTCGGTAACCAATCTTTCTTCGTGGACATTTTTGTTTAACATAAAATGGTTAGCTGAAAGAAAATAGGGATATTTGAGAACTTAAGTGCTGCATTCACCACATTTAAAAATCACTGGTTTAAGAAACAAATACTTCTCAGTATTCAACTTGTCGATTAGAACAATTAAAATCGCAATAAATGTATTTTTAGAAGCACCGAATCATAAATTTGAAAATGTTATACCTAATCTGTAGTGAGTATAAATGGTGGTGCCGACTGGATGTCATGAAAGATGGCGACTCCGTCTCAGTGATTAGGTTTACTGAAACAATAGCTACAGTCTAGGAGCTGAAAGTAATCTCATTCGACCGGTCTTGATGACTAATTGTTCCAGTTTATAACAAAAGACAAACATCCTGTGATAATCATAAAGGAATCCGTTTGATTAATATAGAGTCTAGGAAGTAAGCTTCAAAAATTGTGCTGCTTAATTGAGGTTCGCGGTTAGGAAACCAAGATTAGTTTCAGATATGTCTGGTTTTGGAATATACCTAAAATTACTGATTTCCAATAACAGAGGCAATATCCAACTCCGTAGACTAAGAGGTTCATTGGCAATTTGTCATCACAATGTATGCTAACGAAAACTTTGAGGAAATCCCGAAACGTTTCTAAACTAGAAAAACATGTCAAGTTCTTACTGGAAAGATGCTCTTTTTCGTACTACTCGTAATTGAAATCTCGTCGTTTCGCAGACCTAATTCCCTTAGAAAACTAGTCGTCTACCAGTCACCATAAAAAATCTGCTTGTTACAGATCCCGCTACATAATACTATTAACATACTTGAGTTAAAATGTCGTTTGACGATAAACAAATGAGTCAACGGTTCTTGAAAGGTAATATACAGATTCACAATTAAAGATTGTCTATGTTATCGAAGCAGTCCTGTTTGTAAACACTTACAACATCGGAAACTTATCTCGTTGTTTATGATTTCCAGAAAGAATCCATCAGTCGAAGTATGCTAATATTAGGCCTTATAACATAATAACACCAAACGCCGACCCTGGCTTGATCACATAAATTAGAGAGGTGAGAATAATCAAATCCCGACCCTACACAAACCGTAGTCATTATACCACCAAGCCGTTCGTTTCTATTAGCGAGTTTATCTTTAAATGTTTAGTAATCAGTCATGTACATTTACAGTGAAGCGTTGAGTGCTGTGGAAATGGGGGCTGGATGTATTCCATTTAATTTCTCAGTGTTAGCAACTGGACTGAGAATTTTTACTCGATATCAAAGTGTGCATTTAATACAAGCTTACAAACCAGTTTTTCAAAATCAGAAGTCCTCTCGTCACCAGATCAGCTACGTCAAGAGGTGTTGTAAATAAGTTAGTTACATCAACAGTTATTTTTATCCCCGCAGGTATCACACTTGCAACGCAAACTTCTATAAAATGTGGAAAGCCATCAATGTTCTGTCTAATCAGATTAGTAGATTGACCTCCTACATTGCATGTTCACCTATCGTTATCAAAGACAATAATACATGCAGTGTGGATTTCTTTAGCTTGGAATTTCTATTCCAGACACTTGACTAGGTACGTTGGAAGCTACACTACAAGAACGAAAGTTCAGTGACTAGTTCGTAGGTCCCGAATGTTGTTTGTTGTGATTGAGGTGATTTAACTGTATGTGATCATCAGAAATGATCTTCGTAAGTGTACAGTCGATTTTTGTTCACTTTATAACGGCCGAACTAACAATTACTTATACTCACTATGGAGCTAAAAGGAAATTGGGTATAAGTTATTATAGATTTTACAGAACAATCAACCAAGTCACAGTTAGGTTTAACATTATTGGTTATACGTTTATGTTAGTGGTTTCAAAGTGCTTTTTGCTGTAAAAAGACATCAGACAAATGATGAATGTTGTGAATCAGGCTTTCCTGAACAACGCTACATCAAGTACATAAGCGCCCAAAGACAATCCAATGAAAATGTGGGGATAGTACAATAAAGTTTGTTTACCGCATATATTTAGTTCAAAGGTTTGTGTTGAAATTACTAATCACTGTACATTTTCACTTTGAGGCTGGTTTCAAAAATACTGATATCACTGTAAGTTATTAATTCCAAACAAACTGCTCCAAATGACTTTTCGTACCTTATATACGTCTGATTAGTTTTCACTCTTCCATTTAAATGGCGTGTCTTTCTAAACGCATATAATCAGACCAGTACTTATGTAGAGTTTATATATCATAGGATGTTTTTATTTTTTTAAAGAACTGTATAGACGCAAGTTTGAATAAATGTAAGAAAATCATACACACCTACTCCCAAATGATACTTACATATAAGATGGAAAAATGTCAAATGTTGTACATATTTCCGTTATAATGTAGCGCACATGATCACTTACAATGTCGTCCAATGATGGCGATGCATAGATATAATAATAAATGTTGCAATTGTTTACAAACAGGACTGCTTCGATAACATAGACAATCTTTAATTGTGAATCTGTATATTACCTTTCAAGAACCGTTGACTCATTTGTTTATCGTCAAACGACATTTTAACTCAAGTATGTTAATAGTATTATGTAGCGGGATCTGTAACAAGCAGATTTTTTATGGTGACTGGTAGACGACTAGTTTTCTAAGGGAATTAGGTCTGCGAAACGACGAGATTTCAATTACGAGTAGTACGAAAAAGAGCATCTTTCCAGTAAGAACTTGACATGTTTTTCTAGTTTAGAAACGTTTTGAGGTTTTCTCAAAATAAAAAACAATTCAAGGGTCTTCTCAATATATTCGCTTGCACTTCTTAAAAGTGCAAATCGTGTGTAGATATTTTGTCACATTTTTTTCTAGTTTTTCAAGGTTTTTTAATTAGTCTTTCCTAAAATTTGTTCATGATTAAAATTTTCAGATTGCTGCATAAACCTTTCAGATAGGATGGACTGACATACAACGAAAGACTAAATAAAAATCCATGAAATATTTTTTTTACATGAGTCCTCAACATTAAGAACTCGATGTCTTTGGTCTGCTAAATAAGCTTGACATAGGTAAATCCACGGGGCCCGATGAATTACATCCTAGGCTACTGAAGGAATTATCTAACTTCGTTCGAAGCAGCATGGTTATAGTTTTTCTAACTTATTAGTGGCTCGTGAAAGCTGGTGTGCTCTTAAGGACCAAAAGCTACCTGTAGACGTCGCCTTCATTGATTTCAGTAAAGCTTTTGATAAAGTTCCGCACAACCGGCTGTTATATAGTTAAGAAAAGTTGGGATTGGGTGGATAAAAGACTTCTTAGTTGGGCGTCAACAAAGAGTAAGGGTGAACTCAAAGTTATCTAGCTGGGAAACTGTGCTTAGTGGAGTGCCCCAGGGTACAGTTTTGGGGCCAGTGCTATTCCTCTTATATGTAAATGATCTTCCTTGTCTCCTATCATCATCGGTCTTGCTATATGCTGACGATGTCAAGATATGGAGAACGATACGATGTAAGAGTGATGCTTAGTTAAATGTCGAAGGCTTGTAAATTTTCCCAGCACATTACGTTATAGATCGATAGTGACTACATATTATTTTCTAATCTACATGTAAGTTTACATCTCAAAATAAAGATTAGTAAGCTGCCCAAAATCCGAACATGAAAGTAAACTTCACTTGAGCCTAAGTTGTTATGAGTACCGCAAATTATCAAAAACTAAACTTAGAAAGTGGATGAATTTCGAATGGTTCAAATGGTTCTGGATGGAACAGAAGAAGCTTCCGCCTAACGAGATTCGGTATCTAGGAGCAACGGACCACAAATGCCAAGAATGTGTGTCATTAAAAGGTCACCTCTGAGACATCAGTATTCCATTGTGTAAAGGTTCAGTGATTGAGGGCTCTCTTCAAAAGACCTGAATTCGAGTCCCTAAACTGATTTCTCGTCTTTAATCTTCTGAAATAAAAGAAGTTACACTGGATTTTCATGCTCTAGGAGGAGTAGAATAATACAGGTGAAGATTATGTAGAAACTTCCTCGTCGAATTGGCCGAAAATGCGCTACAACGTTACGAATGTAAAGTTTGCTTCAAACGCATTTTATCACAGTTAGTATAAGACTTCAGATCACAGGGTATCAACATTTCTAGATCTTTCCAACTAGGGCTACCTCTAGAGGGGAGTTAACTACGTTGTATTCGTAGTCTGCAACGTGTCTCAGATAAACTACTTTACACTTTGGAGAGTTTGAGGTAAGTCCGTTTATGTTTGCTGAACTCTGAAGTCGATTCAGATCCTCCTGAAGTTTCAGCATAAAGATCCCACAGGTATTCGGAATTTGACAACGCTTTAACCAGTAACACCTTCTTATACGAAGCGTACGTACCCACGAAGTGAAATCAAAATACAGAAGCGAGGAGGTTCGAAGATATATTTGATAGGCTATCAATATATCGAAGATCGTCTGATTCAATCTGGCTAGCGATTGCATGATTTGTAGAGTACTGCGTTTCCACTCGTGATCTGGTGCGGATGCATAACCGAGCGCCTTCAGCTAGGTGAGTCCATTAAAGCTAATGTGGTCAGCATCCAATGTCGAAAACTTACAAAGCTAATTGTTTTGGGGGTTTATTTACCGCTACAGATTACTCTGAAGATGGCATAGGTATTCAGTGTTTGACAACGCTTTTACCAGTAACACCTAATATAACTCGTACCCACCAAGAAAAATCAAATGACAGAGTCGAGGAGATCGGAAGAGTGTATTTGGCAACAACCAATATATCGGGATTCTCTGATCTAATCTGGCCAGCGATTGCGGTAGATGTTGAGCACAGCGTTACCACACGTGATCTGGTGCGGATGGATGGCCGAGCGCCTTCAGCTAGATGGGTCCACTAAAACATATGGTCAGCATCCAATGCCGAAAACTTACAGAGCCATTTATTTTGGGGATTTATTTACCGCTACAACTCCTCTTAGTGAGGTAGTAATGACCCTAAGACGTGGCCAGCCAGAATTTTAAACCCAGGGAGT